CCCCAGACCTATCGGTCTAACTGTTGCATGCAGTTTAGGTGTGGGTTTGTCAAACCCAATATAGATCTATACACAAGTATCACGCTCTCCCTCAAGGAGACTCTGGTTACAATACAGGACTTAATGGTAATTTGAAGTAAATGTCTCACAAAGTCATTAACGGAATTACGTGTTATGAAAACTTGGTACCGTATGGCCGTACCTTGCTTAATGAAAATATCCTTTGTATAAATGTACCCTTTTTAAATGTATGGTTATGTAATGTATCATAAACTATACCTATTATAGTTTATCAACCAAGGGTAGTACGTGGTAATGTATGCAAACTATATTCAAAATAGTTTATTTAATGTTTGAATGTATCGATTGTACTTTGATTATAATCACTTGTTATTCTTTATATTTTATATGACCAAATCCATTTGTAAACTGATGTGTGTCTAAATATTAAGATAAAATGTCATATATTGCAGTAACATATAATCACATAAAGATATACACCTTGCTCAACATGTTACAAGGTGAAATGAAATTAACAGCAACTTTTCGTTAACAACAGTTTCTGTTACCGTTCTTAGAAAATTTATAGAAAAATCATCAAAGCTCTAAATCCAAATCCGCAAATTTTGAGAGTTGGAATATGAGTCTAGTTTGTTCGTAAATTTTATCATGATTTTTAGTGATCTCTAACAGAGGTGAAAAGGTTCATAATCACAGACTGGTCCGGGTTTGCCTCTGAAATGACAGGCAGTTTTGTACAAATCACCATAAATTGTAGAAAAATCATATGGAGATGTGCAAGTAGTCATTTTAAAGCTAAGAGTTTGAACTACTTGCACCTGAAACAGTTTTGAAAACTAAAATATTTAAGTTGACCAAAACAGTCCGTGATTAACGTCCATCTTTTCTGATGTAATCTGTTAGAAAAAGTTTAATTGTGTTCTTGATGATTTTACTTGTATTCCCCCCTTAAAACTTAAGAAAAACATGTAAATGTATAGGTATGAACTCACCTTATGGGGTTTCAGTAGATGAAAGTGAGAGAGAGGAAGTGTTCAACTCAAGAACACTAAGAAGATGTCTTGATGATTCGAGAATCTAACACCGAATAAGATGGAACTTGTGTAAATATCAATGATTTGAGTAGAATGGATTTTAATAATTATGTGAATGATGAAGATACTTACTAATTGAAGAAAGAAATCCCTGGAGAAAGCCTTGAAGTTCTTGAAGTTAAGAGAAAAGATGAGAGAATTTGGAGAGTGTTTTTTGGTTGCTAAGTGTAGAATGAAAGAGTTTTATGGAGAATGAGGAGAGAGGATCAATCCTCCAGCTCTTAGAACGTGGGAAGAGCTGGAGATTGGCTGTAAAGGTCCACTAAGGAGACAAGGGGTAGTGGGAAAGAGTGGCTAATCATAGAGTGAGGTGGTAGTGGTTTGCTTTTGCCATAAATTAAGGAAAAGCAAATATTCCCTCAATAATTAGTTCAATCACCAATTCTTTTAATATATTTTATAAAAACCCTGGAGATTTATATATTTTGGGGCCTTAGTTTATAAAATAAAGTTTTGGGTGAAAATCCCACGTTAAAATAATGAAAAACGGAGTTAAAACGAAGTTGTAGTCGAAAAACCGGTAAAAAGGAGCTGTCTGCGGACCTTCGGACCTTCGGACCCTCGGACCCTCGGACCCTCGCTTCGGATCTTCGGACCCCTCGCTTCGGATCAGAGGCCTCGGATGCGAGGCTTCGGATGAGAGGCTTCGGATGCGAGGCTTCGGTCCAGAAGCTTCGGTTTCGGATCCTTAAAGCTATTTTACTCGTTTTTAACCCCTTTCAAGCGATTTTTGACCCGGTCAAGGGTCGAGATGACCCAAATGATTACAAAAAGTTAAAGTAACTTTTGAGAGAGATTTGGGAGAGATTTCAAATAGAAAGAGATAGAGTGAAAACGATTTAGAGAGGTTTCGTTTGTGATTAATTTGAGTGTCCGACTTCACAACGCAAGGTTCGTAAACCCCATTAAACCGTGTTTTAGTGTCTTACACAATCCCGATGATTGTGTAATAGTGTTTTATCGCTTTGGTTCGTTGTTTAGCACTTGTTAAGGCTAAGGAAAATCAAACACATGAACTTTCCAAATGATGATTTCTCATTAAATAGCGAATTGTATAGTGATTCATAACGTAAACCCTAGCATACAAGGGTTATTGGAGTTGACCGGTTTGACTTGTTGACTTTGAATTGACCGAAATTTGACGGTTATCACACAAAATCACCAATAATATATTATCAATCTCATTTTGAATCCTCTAACTTAAACAATTAACAAGCTGAAAAGAGTACATTTTATAATAATTGCCATGGACCTTCATGCCTAAAAGTATATTGAATGCTTGCTTCCACCTGTACAAATATGAAGAAATCTTGAAGCCAATGAATAAATTGAACTCCTTATGAGATAGAAACATGTGCAAAAAGAATAGATACATTTGGATTGATACTAATTTTATGGAGTACCTCATTTTTGAGGAACTTGGTGAAGAACCTCTCGGTTTCAATAGTGTCAGTCACCAGGGCTTTAACCGTTTCACCACCTCTTTTTTTCTCTCTTTAGGATTTCTACAAACACTTTATGTGAACTTTTCTTAAGCATGTTATGAACTTCTACAAACCAATTTTCAGCATCATTCCGATCAAGTCCTTCCTTAGGAACCTCTCTAATTCCATCCAAAGCACGTATTTTATGAAAAGAAATATGATGAAGAAATGGAGAAGAGTAAAGAAAGAATAAAAATAATTTTATGAAGCTGATTTGAAAAATATATCCATGGATACAACCAATTTGAGAGAGAAAGAGATGGAACGTTATATTAGGAACCAATGAGTTTACACATACACAAATCAGTAAAAGAAATTAATAGCACTAGAATAAAAACAAAACAAAAAGAACCAAAGAACTCACACTTGCCAATTCCTTTGGGTCTTCCTTCCATCCTCCAAATCTCCAAATCTACATTATGTCTTGAAACACAAATGGCGACTTATTTCTAGAAAAACAATTTCTTCGAAAATCTGCCACAAGGAAATTAATTTATGGTTCTAATCTAAACAATTGGTGATCATATTTTGTGACGTTTTTTAGTTATGTTTAGATAATTAGTAATTAGATATATTGGAATATCAATTACTGTATTATTAAACGTTTAAACAAATATAGTAATGATATGTGGCGTGTTCGTATTTTGTGACATTATATATATATATTATATAGATATAAGATATATAATAAAATATATATATATATATATATATATAGATATATCATATAGAGAGAGAGGAGAGAGAGAAGAAGGGTAGGTTCAAATGTTTCTCACATCTATTGTGTGCTAGAATGCACCATAGGAATTAGTATTAATTATATGTATATTAAATGTTGTCCATACTTATAACTTATTTTTATGGGAACTAATTAAATTCGTCATTAATGTCAACAACAATAATTTCTTTCAGAATGAATTCATATCTACAAAGATGAGTGTATTCCAGCAGAATGAGAGTGGATTCTAGTAGAATACACTCTCGTTCTTCTTCATATTCAATACAACTTTATTGTATTTAAGTGAGTGAGTCATAAAACAAAATACGAACTCATATATAAAAACCTAGAGTGAATTCATTCTGAAGAAGTATTGCTGATATTAATGACGGATTTAATTAGTTTCCATAAAAGAGAATTATAATTATGGAATCATTTAATATACATATAATTATGGAAAATCATTTAATATGTAATTTATTTAATTAATAATTATTTAATTTACTAAATTCTATTGGTGCATTTAGCACACAATAAATGTAAGAAACAAAATAAGCTAGCTATAATATATTATAAGATATATATTATATATATATAATATAATAGAAATATATATATTCTTTAGTTTGTCTTCTGTATTCGTGTGGAAAAAAACTATTGGATTTTTTTTTCTTTTATTAATTTTAAAAAAAAAGATATTTCGTGACGGAATATTGACAGAAACCTCTATCATGAAAAGTTAGGAGTATCAGTCGATAATCTTTCAAAAGATTTCGTTGGTAATCGATCACTAAAAGTGTCCATCGATAATCCATCACTAAAAAGTATTTGTCGGCAATTCGTGTGTCCGTCGGTACTCCGTCATAAACGTTGTTAATTTAGTCGAAGAAGTTCAACAAAGGGCCGTCACTATACGTTGTTAATTCGTCACAAATTCCGACAGGAATATTTACCCGCGGGACTTTTAACGACAAACCTAATTCCGTCGGAAATGGGCTTTACCAACAGATAAAAGCGTCGGTAGTGCCCAGTTCTCTAGTAGTGTTATTCCAAATATTTGTTATTCAAAAGATCTAGGAATGGGTTTTCACTTCTTAGTTTGACAACTCGGGTTGAAATGTCGGATACTAACATTTCATGGCAAGTTGCTTTCAATAAAAAAAGATAGATGTATATATGTCCTTAGATCTTTGGACAAAATGACAACCACAATTTTCTGTAGGATTTCCCCTGCTACACCGATGGTTCCAACATTGTTTGATCAATAATATATGTAGCTTTTCACATTTAAGATGTCACTAAACGGATTTAACTTAATTTAAGAAAAATTAAATATCCTTCTATTTTTCCCCCTAACAGTCCTCCTACTAATTTTAAATTTTAAATGACAAGTACAATATTTAGTTACTTTACTTTTGTGATAACGTAAAGTCGTAGAAATATATAGTTAATTTAGAATAACACTCCAGCTTATTATCAACGCAAGAACCTAAATGGAGGATATCAAATAAAAGTACACTAAAATTTAAATCACACTTATGAATGGTAACAACAAGACTTCAACCGTGGTGCAAATTCCAATATTGTTTTGTTTATTCATTGTTGACATGCAAAAATATTATGAATTCAATTTCCGAATATAAATATTAATTACAACAGAAAAATTAATATGTATAAATTCAACTCTCCTTATGCCGATTTGCACTCGGGGGGAAATCCTTGAGGAAATCTCTTGGAATCCGAGCAGTAGTTATAGATCATGTAATTCTTTTGTGCCCATCTTAGTCTCTCCTGCTTCGTATTATCCAACTCCTCTGATAGCCATGCCGGGTTGTCAGAGCCACCGCAAGATGATTTCCCAGATGACACAACACAAGCATCGGCCTTAAAGTTTCTATATGAAGCAGTGAAGGGAGCTTTACTCCAATCAGTCTTCACAAGCCCACCCCTGGTCGCCCAATCATCAGCATTCCATAAACTAGAGTGTATTCTCATAGGTTGATCTTTTGGAAACGGTACCCCAATCGATTCAGCGTTCTTGAACTCCCTAATGGGTGTTCCATCAACAGAAAATCTGAAAAATCGAAAAAGGAACATCAATAAAAGATTGAATAATAGAACAACGAACCAGGATAGCTTAATGGCTTATTATATGTATAGTATAAACATACGATACTTACACGATGCTTTTAGGATTCCAGAGGATAGAATAGGTGTGGAAGTCAGCAGTGGGGTCGAACCAAAGGTAGAATTGCTGCTCTCTATTCCCTTTTCCTTGGCTAAATACATTTGTATGTAGAATGTAAGGATCACCACTCAAATTACCCAAGAACTCGAAGTCGATCTCATCCCAGTTTGACCCCTTCGAAGACAACTGCAATACAATCACAAAAAAACCATGTTTAGTATATTTTTTTGCTTCTCGTTTTTACAAATAGTAAAACTCCCCAAGAGATAAAACTTAAAAAGTAACTTACATAGTAGGCAGTGACAGTGCCAGCAGAGTTTCCAGCTACAAGCTTGAGCTGCATATCGATTTTTCCAAACATATATTCATTTCTGGATTCAAAGCCGGAGCCAGATGAATTATCAAGGGAGAGCGTTAAGAGGTCACCATTGAGTATTTTACCACGGCCGTTACCCCAAGTGATATCAAACTCATTGTAGAAATCGGCGGAGACAATTGAAGTGCCCACAAGAAATAGGAGCACCAGATAGAAACCTGGAAGCCCTGAGGAAGAAGAAGAAAACCCCATTTTCAGAAAAGTTTGCGTTTCTTTGTTTGGTTAAGTGGATGTGAAGATAGAAGAAGTGAAGGTTGCTGTATTTATAGGGTGTTCGAAAGTTTAAGGGAAGATGAGGAGGAAGGTGACCTAAGTAATCTTTAAGTTGGTGAGATGATATTGGTTGTAAAACAGCTGGTATGTGGGGGAATAGTATTTTGACGTAGTAGGGAGATGGTGCACTTTTGTTATTCCAGACCAAATAATATTAGTGACGAATGGTGTAGGTCACTTGAACATCGAATCCATCAATACTATAAGAAATATGGCTTTCACGCGGTTTTAAAATAATTTTTTTTTGGTTATTTCTCAAAAACAAAATAATAATATTAATAGAAAAAATACAATATATATATATATATATATATATATATATAATATATATATATATATTGTGTATGAATTAACGTAATTAATGTACTATAAATCAAACCAAACTACTAAACTTTGATAAAAACTTTAATTAGAAAGACAAGAAAGAATATTTAGAGAAATATGAAAGTTATATCTCTTATAACTTTTGGTGTGTCTCATTCTTTATAATGGAAAGGTATTTATCTACAAATTTTACGAAATATAATTGTAACTAGTTAGTAATTGTTGACAAATTTATCATGCATCAATTATTATGTCATCCACCAATTATTTACAACACTCCCCCTTGGATGACATCATTTTAGCGTTCAACTTTGACATACTGCCTCATTAAAAACCTTGGCTAAAGAAAACTCAGTGGGAAAAAACTTTAGCGAAGGGAAAAAGAAGTGCAGTGTATAGTGTGACTCCCCTTATGTTAGACATTTGTCACATTATATTCTATGCACATGTCGCATTCCGATGCATGGACATGTTTCCTGAAGATTGCAGTAGGAAGTGCCTTCGTAAAAAGGTCTGCTGCATTGTTACTGGATTGAACATATTTGATTTTCAACTTGATGGTTCTTTATAAGCTCTTGAGTGTACTCAAAAAACTTTGGGGTATATGTTTTGTCCTGTCGCTCTTGATATATCCCTCTTTCATTTGAGTGACACATGCTGAGTTATCTTCATAAATTAAGTTGGACATATATCTTTTTCAAGTCCACATGAAGTTAAAACTAGTTGTGTCATCGATCTTAACCATGTACATTCTCTCTAGCTTCATTAGTGCATTACTTCAGCATGATTGGAGGATGTGGCAACAAGTGTTTGCTTTTGAGAACGCCAGGAAATTGCAGTACCATCCATTCATGAATACATATCTAGTTTGAGATCTAGCTTTATGAGGATCAGACAAATAACCTGCATCTGCATAACCAATCAAGCCTTGTTTGTGAATTGTTAGGGTAAAATAACCCTAAATCACTAGTTCCTCGAAGGTATCGAAAAATATGTTTGATTCCATTCCAATGTCTTTTTGTTGGGGCTGAACTAAAATCTTGCTAGCAAGTTTACAGCGAAAGAATGTCAGGTCTAGTACAATTGGTAAGATACATAAGAGCTCCAATTGCATTTAGATATGGTACTTCTGAACCAAGGATTTCTTCATTTTCTTCAATGGACGAAATGGATCCTTGTCAATATTTAACACCATTGAGAGTGCTTAAAGGAATTTGCATTTTCCATATTGAAACGTTTCAAGACTCGTTCTGTGTAATTTGATTGATGCACAAGTATTCCGTTGGCATATGCTCAATCTGTAAACCAAGACAATATTTGGTTTTTCCAAGATCTTTCATTCAATTCTTTCTAAAAGTTCAACACTTCAAGGATTTCTCTTTATTCGTCCAATGATGTTTAGATCATCAACATAGACTGATTATGATCACATATCCGATGTGTTTTTCTTAATAAATACACATGGACAAATAGTGTTATTTTTATAACCTTACTTGTCAAATAATCGCTTAAACGTTGTACCACATGCGCCCAGATTGCTTTAACCCATACAAAGATCTTTGTAATTTTATAGAATACATTTCTTTGGGTTTGCACTTACGCTTCAGAGCATTTTAAATCCTTCAGGGATTTTCATATAGATATCACTATCAAGTGATCCAGACAAGTAGCTGTAACAACATCCATAAGACGCATCTCTAAATTTTTAGATACTGCCAAGCTGATTAAATATCTGAAAGTGGTTGCATCCATTACCGGTGAATAAGTTTGTTCATAATCAATTCCAGGTCTTTGAGAGAAACTTGAGCACAAGCCTGGCCTTGTATCTTACAATTTCGTCTTTCTCGTTTCTTTTCGTACGAAGATCCATCTATATTCCTAATGGTTTTCACAACTGCAGTGTGAGGATAATGTTCCCAAAAACCTTTCTCTTGTTAGAGAATTTAATTCAACTTGCAAGCTAGCTTCCTTCCATTTAGCCCAATCATTTCTTCTTTGACTTCAATGACATATGTGGTTCGGGATCATCATTCATAATATCACATGCAACTGAATAAGAAAATATTGCACCTATATTGTCAGTTTCATTTTAGTCACATATTCTATTTGTCTGACCATAATTTATGCATTATCCTCCTTTCCTGGGGGAAAGTTGAATAATTCGTGTTTCTCTCCAGGAACACTTTCATCGTGATGCTATGCTTTTCTGCTCCTCTTCTTTTTCGTGTTCTTATCCGTAGAACCAAATGGCCTTCCACGCTTCAGGCGTGTTTTTAAGACTCTTGAGTGACTTTATCATCAATTGTCCATGTGGAATGTCAATTCGAGCTGGAACTTGACAGCTGGTATATATGATTTAGTCACCCTTTTTGTGTCATAAATGCATCAGGTAATGATTTGCCATTTCTTGGAAATGCAATTATCTTTTGAACTTCCATGTCACATTGCTTTGTGCGAGGGTCAGATATGATAAAATTAGGCTCATGCCATGACACATCTTTTCCAGAATCTTCTTTTCTCCACTAATGAGGGGAAAATTTGCCTCATCAAATTGACAATCTTCTAGGCGTGCTGTGAAAATATCACCTGTTAATGGTTCAAGATAATCTGTATAAAGAGAGACTGACTCATAACCACATATTTCCCAACCTTCTTTGAGGACCCATTTTTGTCCGTTGAGGTGGTGCAATAGGGACATATCTGCACACCCAAAAATTCTCAAATGGGATATATTTGGCTCTTGACCGAAAGCAAGTTGTAGTGGAGAATAGACATGATATGAACTTGGTCTCATGCGTATCAATGATCCAGCATGTAAGATTGGCATGGCCCCAAACAGAAACAGGAAGTTTGGGTCCTCATTATCAATGGTCTAAGCTATTAGCTGGAGACGTTTAATCAGTGATTCAGCTAACCATTTTGTTGGTGTGTACATGAGCAACTGGATGATCAACAACAATTCCTACAGACATACAATGTCCATTAAATGCTTGTGAAGTAAATTCACTAGCATTATCAAGTCTCACTCGTTTGATAGTATAATCAGGGAAATGTGCCCTTAATGTTAATAATTTGGGCAAGAAACTTTGCAAATGCATATTACGAGGTTGATAATAGGAAAACAGAGACCATTTGTTGGATGCATGTATTAAGAAGACCATAAAGTATCTAAATGGTCCCAGATGGTGGGTGAATCGGTCCACATATCACCTTGATTTCTTTCTAGAAATCTAGGTGACTCCCTTTCAACTTTCATTGGAGAATGTTTTATAAGTAACTTTCCAAGGGAACAAAATGACATGGTTTTATGCTATTGATTGAGGGATGAAACTTTGGTCCTTCAATGGATGCTCGTGTGTATTCTCAATTATCCTTCGCATCAT